CCCCAAAACCCCAAAACCCCAAAACCCCAAAACCCCTATATTCAAGATTGCCATTAAAAGTGAAGAAAGTTGAAATTTTAAAATTTAAAATGAGAGTATAAATTGATAGTTGGTTTGCAGTTGCTACTTGGAAATGGGATATTCAAGATCCTCATTGTGTCATCTGCATGAATCCATTCGAAATGCCATGTCCACAATGTAAATATGCTGGCGAAGATTGTGCCCCCATTCAAGGACAATGTGGACATCACTTCCACATGCATTGTATCTATAAGTGGTTAGATACCCATGAAGACTGTCCTCTAGATAGAGTTAAATGGCAAGAGAAGATTTCAAATGTTGAAAATGTTAGTCCTATCGAATAGCACTAGTAGTAGTAGCTCCTTTAGCAATAACAATAGTAGTAATAGCAGGTTCAACAGTTAAGTGAGCAGAGTAGAGTCTTAGGAATGTCTTAAAACCCTGCAATCTAAAGATAATTCGTAAATTTCCCTTAATTTATTCAAGATTAACCTTAATTTATGTAATTTGCAGTGAACTCTAATCAAATTGGTGGAGGAGGACAAGGAGTACCTAATAGTTTTAACGGTTAGCAATAATAATGATAAACTGATGCAGATTATATAAGTAGTTTTAATTACTCTTAAAGAACTTAAATCTAAATATTATTATGATTACTTAGAGCTAAATAATACTTCAAACACTCCATACAATAATGTCTCACTAGAATCTTATGATTATGATTACTCACTCTTAATAATTAGTCTTCAATAATCATCTGAGTAGGTTAGTTGATGTGTTTGTAATAGTATTATTCATAGATATAAGGCTTTATGTAACCTTTTTTGAAACAAAGTTTTCAGATTCTCTTTGGTTTTTGTTATAAACAACTCTTTAAACATTAAATTGAGTCTAGCTATCTGTTTAATCCCTATCTTGCTGGTTCTTTCTTTGGAAGACTATCGCTTCTTTTTCTAAAAAATATATTTAAAAATAATGAAAGGCTTACTCAGTTTTGGAAGCTTAAACTTGTTTTTAATTAGTTGCTGGCTTGAGTTAGTTTTTTCTTAACTTATATTTGGCTAAATATTTTCCTTACCAACAAATAAGTCACTAATTCTAAGAAATTTCTATCTCGTAGTTTGTTTCAAAACTGGATTAAGAGGTGATTAGTGGCTATTATTATCATTGACTGTTGGCTACTGATTCCACAATTCAAGTTTTTAACCATTATTTATCTAATTATTTTGTTGACTTAGATCTCTAGACTATAGAATACTTAGTCTTTTTCTTTAAAGAGATCTTGAAATCGAATAACCATGATTGCCAATCCTTTACCTGTTAAGGCTTATTTTATCTATTATTCCATTAATCTCATAGATTGCTTCTCTTGTTTTCTTGTCGTCCAGTCTTTCTTTTGATAAATCCTCAAGTCTTGTATTTAGAGGATTTCTATTCAAGCTACTCTACTGGTGGCTACTATTGTTAGATTTGTTAGAGAAGGCGCTCCTCTTATTAATAATAAAAGTAGGCCTTGATTTTTTGAAAATGAATTCAGGTTTATCAGGTTACTGATCCATTCCATAAATAGAATTTGTAGAAAGCTTTTCTTTTTAAACAATAGTATTCAAAGTTGATGTTTAGCATGATGAATGTCTCAACATATTCCTTGTGATGTTCACTTGAAAGTTTGAGGATAAGTTTTTGAAGTTAAAGCCATGAGCACTCTAAAGAAGATCAAAATCAAAGTTTTTCTTAGATATTTAGGACACTGACTTCTAAAATAGTGCGAGCTTTTAATTTGATATCTACTTTAGTGGGGATGCTTACTGTTTTTATGAGCTCAGGTTTGAGACATTTAAATCCTACTGATCTGAATATGGATTTACCTCTTTATTGACAACTTCAGGAGATCTTTCTACTGTGAAGTCAGAGACCATCTCACTTGAATTCTGATTTTAAGGGTTTGATTATGTTTGAATGCTAAAATCTTAGATCATAATTTCATCAGGGGATTAGTTTCTAATGGTATTCCTATCAATCTAATTTATTTTATGCTTGATCTAATGATGTTGATATTTTAACTCTTTATACTGCTATTGAAGCTACTAATTACTGATTGATAATTGTAATTCATCTTAATTCATTGACTCAGATAAGTTCAATGAAGGAGTATAATCTGTTTAGTTTTAGTAATCGTGAATGGGCGGGGAGCTTCCACTCAAGCTATAAGCATTACTCTGACTATGACTGTTTTGATTTCTCAACGTAATTTCACTGCCATTTGAATTCATATAAGGAGAAGAATTGTTCTCCTAATTATTGTTATTATGATAAATGGCAAAGTAATGAGGATTGAGCTGCGATATAATTTCTTTATTTCTGTTTCTCAGTTTATTCAATATCTTAGTCTGTAGACTTATCTTACCTTCACTAGATCCAGGTTCTTTACTTTCACCACTACCTCCTCCACTTGATAAATCATGGTTTCGAAGTCTTTAATGATCAACACTAAAAGTTTTAATGCTTTTTTTATTAGTAGTAATTTTATGAGTAAATGAGCGGCTTTAAGTATTTCTTTTTGAAGAGCTAGAATGCTAATTATGATTTAATCTGATGAATGAGTCTGGAGATTAATAGCTATTTTCTTATAATGTCGGCATTCTGTATTACTTATTTTCCTCATCCACCATTGTTACTGATATCTTATGATCTGGAGAGGCACTTTTATCAATGAGATGGTCATTGAAATTGTCATTCTTGAATCTAATCTGAGAAGTAGTATTTTTATTGTAATAAGAAGGGTAGTTCTTCAACTCTTATTAATCCTTTTAAGCTCTTCTCTTTCCTTCAAAAAGTATGATTTCATTACTCGAACCTTTGCTACTTGCACTATTGTCGAAGTTTTAATCATTATTGTTATGATATGCAATGATCTTCCTTGAATTATGGAGAAATTTAGATTTTATATTAAGGTTAGGCGTGAGAGTTTGCTATTAAGGTTGAATCTACAGGTGAAATTGAGATATTTGATTGTTCATTATGTAAGAGTATTGAATTAATTTTGAATTTAAATTATTAATCTGTTGTGCTTCATATCCACTTCAGACTATTCAACTTGTAGGGGTTTTGGGGTTTTGGGGTTTTGGGG